GTAAAATAAATTTTCACACAAAAATTCACCTTTTAACTACTGTGATAGTGTAATTTTTGTATTGGAGAATGAATTTTATAATGCGACCAGAATGGAGCTTCTAGTTAATTGAGTATTTTCATTGTTTTATATGTACCCTAAGTAATCGAGTATTTTTCATTCTGTCTTGTGTATATATATATATCGTGACCAGCGTGTACCTTATTAGGTGTTAAATACACTCTTCTTGAACATCAAATTTCAAAACTTATAAAAATTTGATTTGAATTCTATTTCAATAAATCTTTAACTTGAAAATATTTTAGAATTGATATTTTGTTATCAGTAACATTTATTTACTGTGAACAATGCATTTATCATTTTTGTTTTGTTCATCCCGAAGCATACGTTTATATTTGCTACGAAGCTATCATCCTTTTCTTGTTTTTTAGGTTATTTCCCTTCTCTGTCAATAGCTTATTTTCTTATTAGTTTTTTAATTATGGATTCACTTTAGATAATTCTTAATACTACTTTATAGAGAGATATGCTATATTTAAATGATATTAGAGCCTTACTGTGTTACTACTCATGCTCTTTGTGACAGCCATGCATCTTGGCCCTACAGCATAGTTTCCATTACAAAATGTCCCATCACCAGGTTGTCATGTCAAAATACACCTTTACTCCCTTCATCCTTTCCATAATCCTCCTGGTGTATGAGAATGACAGTTTCCCAGTGCTAATTACACAGAAATACAAAGGTAGTGCATCTGAAGGTGTAAAGTCATGATAACCAGATGTCACTGTGTAGAACTACATGTAGACTGTTAACATTTGGATTAAGTATCAGGTTGTTTTGCTTTAATTCTTTAGTTGTCATCTACCTAACATTAAATCAAAAACAGGTAAGCATGGGATTGTCTGATTTAAAATGGTGATATACAATATTGATATAAAGGCTTGATTTATGGTTTTTGTTCTGTTAATCCATACAGCGGGATGATTCGATATCCATGTTGATATACAATATTGACATAAAGACTTGATTTATGGTTTTTGTTCTGTTAATCCGTACAGCGGGATGATTCGATATCCATGTTGATATACAATATTGACATAAAGACTTGATTTATGGTTTTTGTTCTGTTAATCCGTACAGCGGGATGATTCGATATCCATTTTGATATACAATATTGATATAAAGACTTGATTTATGGTTTTTGTTCTGTTAATCCGTACAGCGGGATGATTCGATATCCATGTTGATATACAATATTGATATAAAGACTTGATTTATGGTTTTTGTTCTGTTAATCCGTACAGCGGGATGATTCGATATCCATGTTGATATACAATATTGATATAAAGACTTGATTTATTTCTAGGAGGAAAGCTTAAGACAAAGAGGTTGTAGGTCAACTGTTGGAGGGGAAACCCACTCGTCGCTCAAGACCAGCCCTCGGTTAGCCCATCCCACTGGTAGCCCAACCACGAGTTGTCAAGAATCTCAACAGATTCAGCAGAACTATATAATATATATCGGCATCGTTTTTGGTGGCTATCTTTTGGGTCTTATCTTTGGCAAATTTTTGTTGTAGGTTACCAAAACAAGTAGCTGGCCCCTTGTTTGTTTGTTGTTTTTTTTTTTTATCTTGTTCCATTTATTAAATACTTGACTACAACCAGACTTCTAAAACTTTTCACTTGGGTCATGATCAGTTGTATTTTAGTACCAGTAGAATAGTATCTGACAGCTTTCTGAACCTAGAGGGAGAGGCAGTTCTCTGGAAAAAAATCGTTTAACAAAAACCAGTTAATTTGAAGAAGTAATAAATAATCTGGCTCCCAGGTGTCAGGCACTACTAATATATATCAGAAATAACGAGAAGATCTGGACCTTCCACACAAAAGTCTGCTATAACCACATTTGGGTCATGATCAGTTGTATTTTAGTACCAGTAGAATAGTATCTGACAGCTTTCTGAACCTAGAGGGAGAGGCAGTTCTCTTGAAAAAAATCGTTTAACAAAAACCAGTTAATTTGAAGAAGTAATAAATAATCTGGCTCCCAGGTGTCAGGCACTACAAATATATATATCAGAAATTACGAGAAGATCTGGACCTTCCACACAAAAGTCTGCTATAACCACGTTATCGTACTGTTGTACAATAAGAAACACCTCCTGTACTTTTGAGTTTTCTCGAGAGGTCCTTGTAAGAGCTTATACATTTTTTTTATATTATTTTCTTTATTCAACTTAAGTTTTGAAGTTAGAAGTATTTTTTGAGAGACAGACAAGAATATTTTGCACATTTTGGAAACAAGAAATTCATCTTCATAGGATGTAGATATCTTTTGTTTATGACAATAGCTTGTAATCTTCAAAAAAAAATGTGTTTCTTGATCTAACCAGGTTCTTTGAACTAAAAACATTAGATTTTTTTTAAGAGGATGGTGTGTGGTTTTCACCTTAAAACCTGAAGTGGCTAAAGAACTACAACACAGATAGTTTATTAAGACAGTGATAATAAGATATTATTCGCCAATGATTACAATATTTTGTTTTATTATTTCAATATAGAGTTCAGATTACTTGACTGTTTAACTATAAATTGTTAAGTACCCTCGATATTAAGCTGTTTTCCCAAATGTTTTGAAATAGTGTTTTTTTTTTAGTGCATTTTAATTTTGTTTTTGAGTTCAACCGAGTTTTATAGGGACTGTTGACCAAATGAGATTTATGCTTAATTTGTATTGATGTTCAACATATGTTCTGTAACTTTATTAGAATGTTTAAAGTGGAGGTTGTTAGAGACAGTTATAAGTTAGTTACTGGTAAGAACATAAAGTTGATCCATGTCTATATGAATCATGTCACGATGATGAAGTTGAAAAAAAAAAAAAGATAGACCTCTTGAAATTGCCTGTTAACTTCTTGTTTATTAAGAAGTACTATTATTGTAAATGTCCTAGTGTATCTTAGCAAAACTAAAACATTTAACTTAGATATATTGAATTTCTCGTATCGTATATACAATATGGGGTTAAAAGAATTGTTTAATGTTTTGTTGAACCTTTCCGTAGGCCACATAGAGCTAAAAGGTGGTTGTTTTAATCATGATACAAAAATAAAGTAATTTTTTATCTTCTAAGTGGTTTGTGGTTTCACAACCATTACGTAAATAGAAGTTAGGTGAAATACGAAACTCTCGTACACTTTACTTTTTCTATGAAGCTTTAAAGTATTTCGGATCCTTATTTTAGACAAGAGGGTACAACTAAAAGAGCACCACTTGGTAACTTTTATAGAATAGACTGTGAAATGCCTTAAGGGAAGATAGTTTCGATTTAGCCAACTACGGTATCAACAGCTTTTGTTAATTTGTCTTAATTAATGTGACGTTATGCAAGTTTACTGAATTAAGTGTTACCTTTCCACTTTTCAGTATAGCAACAAAACTTGAAACCTCGGGTAAGATACAGATGTACAAATTGTATAGGAATGATTGGATGTTAAGATTTTTAGCAATAAGTGTATTCTAAATTAATGCTATGTTTGTGCTAAATTGTTCATTTTCGGGCAGTCACTTTTGCAGAGCCTGTCTCGGTGAGAAATTAAAGACGGCCTGTTAACGAAGAAGGCTACAGAATCCTTTATTAATCCACTAAAATTTTGTACCATATTTGGATGCGTGCTGATATAACCATAACAAATATTGGTTAATAAAAAAAGTTAAGTTTTTAGTATAATTTCTTCCAATATTTCACCTGCTTGAAAGTTTATCTTAAATTTTTTTTTCACTGGTGTGTTAGTGTTCGAGCTGCACCATCGTCTTTGCTTACTTTACACATTTCGTGGATCGAAATATTACATTGCAGCATTCCTGAGGAATTTCTTATTTTTAGCTGGCTTTCCCAATTGGGAATACATTGCTAATCCGTATTCCTTTAGTTAGGTGAACGTATTGCACAGATTAAATAAAAAAAAACAACAATTAATGAGGAAATGAAACTTTACACTAGAGAGAATGTAATATTTGTGATAGTTTTCACTCGATTGAATGTAGTTTTCTTTCTATCCGTGTGTTTCCACTATGTTCATTGGTCAAAACTACTACTACTACAATAAATCCTTATCATCAACACAGGATATTGGAAGTTTACAAAATAGACTTCGGTCTTTTGGTAATTCTTTGTTCAACCGTTATTATTTATCTAAAATCAGAGTTTGTGTGATCTCGAAAGTTTCCTCATCGTGTTTAAAACACTGTTCTGTATTATATACGTGGTTGCTTACAAAGTATTTTTCTCTATCAAACTTTGGTTTTGAATTTTATTTAGTAGTTGGTGTTTGTTTGATATCATAAGGGTTTGCTTATATCGTGCATGGTCACCGTATACACATATAAACGATTTTAGGATTTCAGTACGAAACGTTGGAAAATTAAATTATTCAGCAAATCAAATTTCGCATTGTTATAAGATAAAATAATAAAAAAACAATAAAAAATTTCACGTGGATAACAAATCCAGTTCTTTTGAAATCGTTCACCTGCGGGATCGGGAAGAAATATTCGTTTGTATGGTTTTGGAACTTCAAAAACTATGTACCGTATGCAGCACGAACAAAATTCTGTTGGCGTTTGCTGATTATGTGTAGGAGGCTCAGTTGTGGTTGTCATAGTAATTATGTAGTCCAAACAACTTGGATCTAAAACATTTAGCATTGCAGTTTTTGTAAGTTGTTGCAAATGATTTTAACAATAGCATTTAACACAAAGTTGATTTGAGTGAGTGGGTTTGGTAAGCTTAAAATTTTTAGTTTCTTAGTCAGCATTTGTTTTCAAAAACAAAACTTGCAACAGACATACCTATCGTGGATGATTGTGGTTCGTTTCATACCTTTCAACGTGTTTGTTTTGGAAGGACTTAAAATCAAGTAAGATACAACTACAAGTGATTATCTGATGCTGATTGACCTTTGTCCTCAAAGCTGTAGGAGCTCCTACAACTACAAGTGATTATCTGTTGCTGATTGACCTTTGTCCTCAAAGCTGTAAGAACTCCTACAGCTACAAGTGATTATCTGATGCTGATTGACCTTTGTCCTCAAAGCTGTAGGAGCTCCTACAACTACAAGTGATTATCTGTTGCTGATTGACCTTTGTCCTCAAAGCTGTAGGAACTCCTACAACTACAAGTGATTATCTGATGCTCATTGACCTTTGGTAAGAATGTCAGTTAGACCAGTGCTGAGCCATAAAAATAGCCTGTTGATAAATTTTATAACAGTAACTTGAGTAAGAAATAATCCTTCAGTATTTCTGATATCTTGAACATTATAAAAGTTATATAATACACGTTAGTAGTACAGATATTGAAGTTGGAATTGTATGCTTTGTTTTACTTATTGTTTTGATTGAGAAAAGTTTTATGTCTCTTCGTTTGAATTACAAGGAATGTGGGTTTATCGAAATCATGTGAAACTGTTTGATCGGTAACCCGTCAGCATGCCAACGTGTTAAATCTGTTACAATTCTGTTGTTGTGTATACCAGATTTTTACCAATTGGTTCAGTAATTTGTTAAATAATTATCCTGGATATTTCTTACAAACCTTGTATGATACCTTCAACCTAAGTAAAATATTTTAATTTTTGATGACTTAAATATGTATAAGATTCCCATCACTGTTGAGGACACATTTTAACTTTGAGCTGCAATCAGAATGCGAATGAAAGCAAAGGAGATTGTAAGATGTATAGAGGGGAAGGGAGCTGGGACATACGGTTGGCTGTTACATGCAACTATCAAGTGTAAGTTTCATCTTGTATTTTAGACTAAACACACATACGTGAAACAATAACTGAAATAAGGCTATTGATCTAAAGTTGTGTATAATAAACAGGTTGGCAAGATCCATAAAAACTAGTTAAGCTGTTGCTATAGTTTACTTTGTACTATTAAAAGTCAAGATCCATACAAACCAGTTAAGCTGTTGCTATAGTTTACTTTGTACTATTAAAAGTCAAGATCCATACAAACCAGTTAAGCTGTTGCTATAGTTTACTTTGTACTATTAAAAGTCAAGATCCATACAAACCAGTTAAGCTGTTGCTAAAGTTTACTTTGTACTATTAAAAGTCAAGTTCCATACAAACCAGTTAAGCTGTTGCTATAGTTTACTTTGTACTATTAAAAGTCGAGTTGCATACAAACCAGTTAAGCTGTTGCTAAAGTTTACTTTGTACTATTAAAAGTCAAGTTACATACAAATTAGTTAAGCTGTTGCTAAAGTTTACTTTGTACTATTAAAAGTCAAGTTACATACAAATTAGTTAAGCTGTTGCTAAAGTTTACTTTGTACTATTAAAAGTCAAGTTCCATACAAACCAGTTAAGCTGTTGCTATAGTTTACTTTGTACTATTAAAAGTCAAGTTCCATACAAACCAGTTAAGCTGTTGCTAAAGTTTACTTTGTACTATTAAAAGTCAAGTTGCATACAAACCAGTTAAGCTGTTGCTAAAGTTTACTTTGTACTATTAAAAGTCAAGTTGCATACAAACCAGTTAAGCTGTTGCTATAGTTTACTTTGTACTATTAAAAGTCAAGTTCCATACAAACCAGTTAAGCTGTTGCTATAGTTTACTTTGTACTATTAAAAGTCAAGTTCCATACAAACCAGTTAAGCTGTTGCTATAGTTTACTTTGTACTATTAAAAGTCAAGTTCCATACAAATGTTTAAAACTTTAGTTTTAGTCAGTCCTTGTGATCATAACTGAGATATGATTGTATATCAATTCTGGTTTAAGTAAGGTTAGAGCCCTACCATTAGATCTGTTTTCTTCAGTCAACAGTTGTTGTGTTTTGTAACTCTTTATCAGTGAAACAAAAGATGTATGTAGTAAATTTTCAAAGAAATTAATTTTTTTTCTGACTTTGTTTTCTTGTGTTTAGTCTGACTCTAATTACGTCATTATAGATATGCAGTAATTCTTGTTAATAACCTAATTGTCTCTCTTCTATTTGGCATCAAAGGTCATGGTAGTGTAGAGACTACCTGACAGTGCCACCTGGTTTCATTCAACACAAATAATTATTTCATTTGCTTAGCACCACTCCCATCATCCTAAAATACTTCCTAGCTGTGAGATTGTATATTGTGGACATTATTATATTATTTTATTTTATTGACTAAGAACTTAAAAATGACAGTAATACAAGAAAATTGTTAGTCGATGTGTGTGTTGTTGATTTCTTGGTGACTTGTAATGGGGCCTTATATGGATTTGTGATAGTATTAATATCGTTTGATAGACCGGTAGGTAAGCTTAACTTGACGAGGTTTTACTTCTCGGGGGGAAAAGTAAAGGATCTGTGTGTGATTTTCTTGAACTCAGATTGTTGATTTACTTTGAACTTTTTTTTCCTTTCACTTTGTATCCTAAGTATGCTCCACGTGTTCTGATCAAGATAGTAACTATATATCTATATTGATATATTTACACTTACCTTTGTTGCAAGGATCTTTTAAATTTTCCTTAATTTGCAACGTTCGACGGTAACATTAATTTACAGTAAACTGATTTTTCTTGAGTGTACCAGAATATTCACAAGTTGAAAATGGTCTAAAGAGTGTAAGATGTAATTTTAGAAGACCTATCTGGTCGAGGAACTAATAAATAAGGATCAACGTTATCCTCTACAGTTATCGTCATCATAAGTATGTACATAAAGATCTATTAAAGCTGAAGAATTAATTGTTGTTTGAATCTGTTCTCACGAAAATTTGTGATATCCAAGAAGGGGCTAATGATAATTGGGGTGGGATGTAAAGGGTTGGCTAATAATGATTGGGGTATGATGTAAAAGGGTTAGCTAATAATGATTGGGGTGGGATGTAAAGGGTTGACTGTGTTTGAAAAAAGTATACAATAGCCCAAGAGAATTGTAATTTACTCTAAGAAGATTACATTTAAATCTTTGATAGAAATAATTGCCAATGGTATTTTATTTTGAATGTAAAGTTTTTAGAAGTGAAAAGGGGAAATAGATGACAGATTTTTCATGTAGTTATCAAAGTTTTTGTTCTTCTGGCAGCAAGAGTAAAGTAAAAGTGTGCAGTAAAGGCTTCGTATGTTGTAAGTGTTGACGGCACTTTTAAAAGTGCTCATTAAATTGATGCAGATTTCTGTTTCTAAGCTCGAAAGTGATTGATTTTTAAAGCGATAAAAACGTGGAATGTATTTCTGTGAGATAGCTCTACTTGGTACGTTATGATTTATATTGAATTAATACATTTTTTACATAATCATTTACCAGTTTTTATATACAACTAGTGGCATGTATTACAATAGGGTCCTTTATTAAAGAATGTTTCAAATGCTGTTGACCTTGTGTACTGAAATAAGAGGTTATTGGTGTACATTAATGTAGCTGACCTACAATAAACATGTTTATCAGCAGTAATTTAGCAGGTGTTGTATTAAAGGTGTGTTGTATGATACATTTACTGCTGTACATTAATGTAACAAATCCTGTAATAAAACTATGATATATGATGCAGTTATTGGCCAACCTTAATGTAACAAGTACCGTAATAAAGTATGTTAGTTACACAGTAACAAGTGTACATTAGTGTAGCAGAAGCTGTAATAAAATATATAACTTAGCAACAAGTGTACGTTACTGTAGCAGAAGCTGTAATAAAGTATGTTATATAACACAGCAACAAGTGTACATTAGTGTAACAGAAACTCTAATAAAAGTGTGCTATATAACACAGCAACAAGTGTACATTAGTGTAACAGAAGCTGTAATAAAATATATAACTTAGCAACAAGTGTACGTTACTGTAGCAGAAACTGTAATAAAGTATGTTATATAACACAGCAACAAGTTCACATTAGTGTAGCAGAAGCTGTAATAAAATATATAACTTAGCAACAAGTGTACGTTACTGTAGCAGAAACTGTAATAAAAGTATGTTATATAACACAGCAACAAGTGTACGTTAGTGTAGCAGGTTCTGTAATAAAAGTGTGTTATATAACACAGTAACAAGTTCACATTAGTGTAGCAGAAACTGTAATAAGTGTAGCAGACACTAATAAAAGTGTGTTATATAACACAGCAACGAGTGTACGTTAGTGTAGCAGGTTCTGTAATAAAAGTGTGTTATATAACACAGTAACAAGTGTACGCTAGTGTAGCAGGTTCTGTAATAAAAGTGTGTTATATAACACAGTAACAAGTTCACATTAGTGTAGCAGAAACTGTAATAAAAGTGTGTTATATAACACAGTAACAAGTTCACATTAGTGTAGCAGAAACTGTAATAAGTGTAGCAGACACTAATAAAAGTATGTTATATAACACAGCAACGAGTGTACGTTAGCGTAGCAGGTTCTGTAATAAAAGTGTTATATAACACAGCAACAAGTGTACGTTAGTGTAGCAGAAACTGTAATAAAAGTATGTTATATAACACAGCAACAAGTGTACGTTAGTGTAGCAGGTTCTGTAATAAAAGTGTGTTATATAACACAGTAACAAGTTCACATTAGTGTAGCAGAAACTGTAATAAGTGTAGCAGACACTAATAAAAGTATGTTATATAACACAGTAACAAGTTCACATTAGTGTAGCAGGTTCTGTAATAAAAGTGTGTTATATAACACAGTAACAAGTGTACGTTAGTGTAGCAGGTTCTGTAATAAAAGTGTGTTATATAACACAGTAACAAGTTCACGTTAGTGTAGCAGGTTCTGTAATAAAAGTGTGTTATATAACACAGTAACAAGTTCACATTAGTGTAGCAGAAACTGTAATAAGTGTAGCAGAAACTGTAATAAAAGTGTGTTATATAACACAGTAACAAGTGTACGTTAGTGTAGCAGGTTCTGTAATAAAAGTGTGTTATATAACACAGTAACAAGTTCACATTAGTGTAGCAGAAACTGTAATAAGTGTAGCAGACACTAATAAAAGTATGTTATATAACACAGCAACGAGTTCACATTAGTGTAGCAGAAACTGTAATAAAAGTGTGTTATATAACACAGCAACAAGTTCACATTAGTGTAGCAGAAACTGTAATAAAAGTGTGTTATATAACACAGCAACGAGTGTACGTTAGTGTAGCAG